GCTGCTGGTCCCTTATCTGAGCACCACACTGCCTCCTGGCAGACACTCCTGTCATCCTGAATAGGCCTTCCTCTGCTTGCTCACACACAGCAAGAGACGCTCGCTGTCTCCGAATGCTTGACACTGCTTTGAATAACTATTTGCACAGAAATGAGCCTGTGCAGGGTTTCTGTTCTTCCTGTTGTGCCCATGTGGCAGAGCCCCAGAGGTCCTGGTATAAAGCTGTCCCTCTGCAGGCAAGCTTTGTAGTCTGCCAGGTGGCACAGGGTGTGCTTCTCCTGCCAGGACCTCGTAGCCTCTCTCTTTCCTTGTCAGAGATCTTTACATCCTGCTTTTTCCCTGTTTTGCAGCAGCTCCTGTGTTCCCTCAAGGTTCCTGAAGCTTTCTCAGTCGATTGTTTTGGAGGGGGGGCAAGTTCTGGCCATTGCTCCTGACGTTCCCCTGGCTCAGGCTGTTCATGTGGCTCCAGCTGGGGTCCCGGTGGAGCCTGCACCTCGGCCCCCCACGGCAGTGGACCCCACCGCAGAGCTCATCCTTCTCCAGCCACCGCAGGTAGTGGCATGGGTGTGGGTTGGGCTGGTTTGCTGGTGCTGTGACACTGGATACCTGGGGCAGGGAGAAGTTTTCCTTCTCTATTGAGTAGCTTTAGCAGTGAGCATTTTCAGAATTTAATCTCGACTTTAAACCTGTCCCTGAACCTGTAATTCCTGTGGACTCGTGTGTCTTAGCTCCATCCAGCACTGCTTGATTCCCTGGGCTCCCAGGAAAAGGTGACACTGTTAGACAGGGGGGGTTGATTCACCAGGAGTCTCAAGACCTGACAGTTGTGCAGTAAGAGCACAAATCTGTGCAATAATAAAAAATATCCAGGCTGTGAGTGCAGGTGTCAGATGTGGGTTTTTTGTCTCTTTGTTCTCCTGTTTTGGGCCAGGCTGCTGTTGTGTTCAACAGCCGGATCCAGGCCCTGGGACGCTATGCTTTCATCCTACACTACTACCAGCCCAACCATCCCACCTTCCCCGTGGAAGTGTTAATCAACGGTGGGCGCATCTGGCAAGGTGAGAAGAACGGGGACCTGGGGGAAGCTGCTGATAGGCAGAAGCCCTGGAAAGCTTTTCGTGCCAGGAGATAACTGCCGGTTCTCTGAGCATCACAAAGATGAAGCGAGACTGACCCATCTCTTCCAAACTGGGAGGGTGTGGTGGGGACTGCAAGGGAACCAATACATTTGTTATCTTTTCAGGTCAGACCAATGCTAATTTCTGCCCACACGGCTACGGGTGCAGGAGCCTGGTAGTTTCCGAGGACCAGATTATCCTGGATGTTACCGATAATGATCTGACTGTGGTTGTTCGAGTGCCAGAGGGCGTGGCTGGTGAGCCTCTCTCCAGGAAGCTTTCGGGACATGCTGGACCAGGCTCCTGCAGGGCTGGAGTTTGTCCTTGGGGATTTTTGTCACTGAGTGACCACAGGAATATTTCCCACTGTCACTCAGTTTCTGAACTACTCTAGAAAGTTGCAGTCTCCACCCTTAGTGGTGTAGAACTGAGGGCAGAACTCTCAGAGGCAGGATCTGTATATGACAGTTATTCTTCACTGTGTGGTTTTGATACTAAAACAAGGCAGAAATTGAAGTTGTTGCTTTGCATACACAGCTTGTGATAACCCAGAGTAAGCCTTATTCCTGCCCCAGCAATATTTTGCACCTGCATAGCACTGTTTGTCCAGGCAGGTCTCATCATGGGATCAGGTAGCCCTTGTTATCTTCAGACAACAGGACTAGAAGATTGATCAAAATCTGGATAAATTACTGACAGACAGAATTGGAACCCAAGTGCCTTCGTGTCTAGGAGTTTGAGATGACAGTGACTGCCTGTCTCTGTGCTTAAGCACAGCCACTGCTGCCCTTTTGGGGTATTCTGCCTTTTTTAACTACAGTGAATTTGGGCCACTCCTCACGTAGAGCATTAGATTAGATGGACCCTGATGGTCAGACCCCAGTAGAGAGGTGGCCCCTGGTCTTTCCAGTACTTGAGCACTTTGTGTATGTTCTGTCCCAGCAAGTGGTGAGCTGATGAGAAGGTAAGGGTGCATTTGGCCTTCTGAGTGAGCGCATTTTGGACTGTATCTCTCTGGCTCACCCATCTGTCCTTGTTTTGCAGGATTATATCCTTGTGGTGCCTGAGGACAGCTACAGCTCTCAGTACCTGCAGGAAGAACCCCTGGACAAGTCCTATGATTTCATCAGCAGCTGTGGCATCAACAGCTTCTACATCAAGTGAGAGCCTCAGCTTTGGCTGGAGAGCAGAGCAGCCCACAGGCTGCACACTCCTCAGGGAGCAAAACCCCATTGCCTTCATGTGTGGCAGGGGAGGGATTTGCTTAAGGCTTTCCTTATCTAATGATCAAGCTGGGGGGTATTTGGGGGATCTCAGTGTCATGGGGCTCTCCCTCACGCTAATTCAGTACCTGTTGCTGCAGGAGATCCTGCTGGATTTCGGGGTGGTGGGGAGGCTGTGGGGGTGTGCAGCACAGTGACTCCTCCTGCCTTCCCCCCGCAGCCCCAGCACATCGTCGAGGTTCTGCCGTGACTCTGCCATCTCCCTCTCCCTCTTCTACAACAACGGGGCACAGCCCTGCCAGTGCCACGAGGCAGGGGCGCGGGGCAGGCAGTGCGAGCCCTTCGGCGGGCAGTGTCCCTGCAAGTCCAACGTCATCGGGCGAGAGTGCTCCCGCTGTGCCACCGGCTACTGGGGCTTCCCCAGCTGCAGGCGTGAGTTGTCCAACATTCCTTTTCCAGCACTTGCTGCTTTGCTTCTTACAGGCTTGAGGCTGATTTGGGAAATGGCTGTATTTTTCAGCCTTGTAATGGCTCTACTCGCATGAAAAGAGCGCAGCTGCCTGCCGAGCAGTTGAGCCTCTGCGTCCATTGCCCCGTGCTCTCCTGGAGCTGCCTGGGTCTTGCTCCCCCAAACACAGCCCCTTCTCTGCCCCTTCCAGCCTGCGACTGCGGGACGCGTCTGTGCGATGAAGTGACAGGGCAGTGCATCTGCCCTCCGCACACCCTGAAGCCGGAGTGTGTCGTCTGCGAGCCCCAGACCTTCGGCTGCCACCCCCTCATCGGCTGCGAGGACTGCAATTGCTCTCGGCCCGGCGTGCAGGAGCTGACGGAGCCGGGCTGTGACGTGGACAGCGGGCAGTGCCGGTGAGAGAGCCCCGGCCAGCACTGGGCACGTCAGGCAGCATCCCCGGTCCCTGCTGGAGTGATGGAGCTCAGGGCTTATGGGGAGCGGCTGAGGGAACTGGGGGGGTTCAGTCTGGAGAAGAGGAGGCTGAGGGGAGACCTCCTGGCCCTCTGCAACTCCCTGCCAGGAG